AAGATGCACGAATCTAATCACCCATGGGTCATTTTACCTGCTGAGCATACTTCCGTGTACAAAATCAACCAATCATAATGCAGTAAGCTAGGGGCCCAGAAAGGATCCCTTGCAAGATCAATTTAGAATCTACCAGAGGACTATCAGGCTCAAATAATCAGTCTTAATGGTTGTTGGCAGATTTAAAATAATTCCTTGCACTCCTCGGCAACCAAAGTGCGATTTAAACCCATAAAACAAACGAAAGGCCTGGGTACAACCAACGTTCTTACCAACTGAACTACGAGACTCTTGCACACTATGTTCCAATCGCATTTATTAGTGTTTCCCAGTGCAAGTTTACTGTTGCTAATGACTTTAGAGTTAACAACTGTCTTTGGCGTACCCACTCAAATTGAGTGTGCAGTAGTTGGGTTTGAAGTACGCGAGGGGCCGCAGGACGCAATGGATTATACGTGAACACGGGTAGGTTCTTGAATGAAAGAATCAGTGTTTCCGAGTATCTGGAAAATTCGATATCAAATTGATAGGCATTCCGTCAACGGAATCGATATCACCATGATATCTGAATAGCAAAATGTTTGATATCTACTCGATGTCAAGACTCTATACGTCTGTTATGTGACCATCTCAAAGAGTCTCAAATTTGACCTTTTACATCTTCCAGAGGTTTCTGCCAGGACATTATTGTGATGTAAGTCGGACTGCAAATGTCTAAGGTTCGGTCCTTTGCTAAAAAGCAGGTACTTGCTGTCCAGGCTTTCACGATGTCTCTATTCGATCGGTGTGAAATAGCCATAACTAGATAAGAGCGCACCTTGGACTGTATACTGGATATTGGACAAGAAAAACCATACCGCGAGGCCTTGCGCAAATTTTCAGGGCGAATAGGTTTAGTGTAAAAATTAAAGTGAAGTATAGCAAAAGTTAAAATTACGGTAAGTGTCTCATTTTGGGTAATGAACCGATAATATGCACACTTCCTCGCATTTCGCACAAGGCCACTTGAATTACTTGCAGGGTTCATATTCTCTTGCTCAAACCTAAGATTAAACTCAAGCAATACCGGCCTTAAAATTTGAGAGACAAAAGAAAGCTTTCTGTTTCCAAGGGATTACGAACTCCAGTTTGGCTGCAAAACGAAGTTCCGACTTGAGGATGAATACGTTTAAAGCAATAAGTCAGCTACAGTTAATTTCACTTCCAGTCATTAGAAGACAATCATAGTACAGTTAAACTGACTTCTAACTCACTTCAAATGGAGTCGAGTCTGAAGAGATGTTGGTGAATCCGACGATGTCGCTGAAGTAGATTGTGCATGATGCGTAGGCTTCTGCAGGAACTGGTTGTCCGCTGCGAAGCTGGTTTGCGATAGACTTTGGTAGCATGCCTAGAATATAACGTTTAATAAGGAGTATATATTCATTTTATGCACGTCTTTTTACCTTGATCTATAGTCACCAGATTTGATTCGGGAATTAAAGTGCATTTCATAATTCTGGTGCAAAACCTCATAAAATGACCTGGTTATGCATATTTGTATTGAATCGTTGACGAAGTATGCATGCCGAGATGGTATAATGAAGGGAGAAGGCCCTTCGCCCGTTCTCCTCTGCATATTTTGGCTTGGTGTTGTCCACCCAAAAAATTCCACTTTTCCAGTGAATACTCTTCTTTAGTTAAGTATACCATCTCACTTATTCTGTATATGCATACATGGATGACTAGGTGAACAACGAATAGACCAAAAATGACCATTTCAACCTTCCTAGCCATTGTTGGTACTGTAGTTCAGCATATATATATGCTTTAATCACCTGGCGTTTCACACTCATATTTGAACGCACCATCGGCGATAGATATCAGCTATCTAGAATGTCTTGCAAATTACTCCAGCATGACGTAGTAACGACGTGGATCGCCCATGCATAAGCTCACCTTAGCTGGAAAGCGAAAAGACATACGATCGCATGTCACCATATACAGCTTAGAAAATAATCACCTATTCGGCTTCGACAGTGCACAAGTACTCGGTCAAGCCGAATTGGGGCCGATCGAATTAACCGAACGATTGACCTTTCAGTGTCATAGGAGGCCGTCAGACACAACTTGTTCAAGAATGGAGGAATAATGAGAAGAGAACATGATGGATTTATCAGGAGATTAGTAAGAAGGGCCAATTTTTCCTTTTTGACCTTTTGATCAGTATTTCAACGTTCTAACCGTCTTTTACTACTTCCTGTCCTACCAATAAGCGGTTTAGAAAATTAACTTTGTTCTTTTGAAATTTCATTAACCTTATCCCAATCGGCAAAGCATGAATTTCATTGTGCACGGTGTTCTTCTACTAGAGTACTCTCGCTAATGATAAAACCAAATTCACTTCAAGCAATGTTATGCAATTTTGTGTGACATAAAAAGAACTTTCGGCCGTGTAACCTACTGTGCAGAAGTTCATCAGTCCTTTGTTTCTCGACAATGAGGTCCTGCGTCCTTTCGTTAACAATGCTCTCCAAATGGGCCGAATACTTCTCCATCTAAAATGCGAACACATTCATTTATGCTTGGACGCGGCTTGCCTCCAGTTTACAGAATATTAAGACAATCTGATATGTCTACTGTCTGGCTATTAAGTAGCCAGGTTTTAGTAGTTTAAATGTTTACTTACAAGAAGGCTTACGAGAGCTTCCTTTAGCACTTTAAACCGGGTTGTGTTGCAGACGAACAAAAGCAAAACAAAGCTATTAGACAGCAACAAGTTTTGGACCATTTTTAATACTGGGCGAAGGCCACAGCGGAAGAGAACCCACCAGGCTCAAAATGATGTCAATCGGATTCTTTCGTCGAGGATTGATCAAGTCCATCTTTGCTTTGATCATTTCGAAGGTAGGTCGAATTTCGCTTGGTCCCCAACAATTCTTGATCAACTGCAGGGGGAGAAAAAGTGATGAATAATGGTCCCAAGAAAAAATGCAGATCAAATCTAAGTTCTAATAGGTTGTCGGCACATGAACACAATTTTAACATGAAGTATTACTTGGGTCGGCAAGTAAACAACAAGCAAACCAGTCAGTTAAGGCAAAAAGCGGACCCCGCGAGTGGCACAGAGGTAGATACACAAAGAACAGAGTAATCAGCCTGCTAGTGGATGAAGAGCAGCGATCGACCAATTGACATTAGGCCCTCAAAAATCCAGGATCCGGATGAAAATGTGTTACACTCAGAGGACTAACTTGAATAGCCTGATTGATATCTTCCGCATTGTTGCAAGTCACTGCTCCGTAATGATCCCTACTACCCAACTGGAGTAAGTGAGTAATCACCGGAGAGATATAATTCTCAGCTGCATCTAGGGCTACCTATATGCTGCCTTATCTGACCACTTTCTTATGGGAAAAATAGGCTAACATGCATATTATCTATTTATGCAATTATTTATTTACATAATGTTATAAATATGTAATCATTATATAACATAATATTATTTAATATTACGTTTAGCATTAAATTTAATTTATATTTTTATATGGTATTCAAGTGGACATTGATTTCTCTGCTCTAGTTTATTTACGGTGAAGACGAAAAATGATTCCCTTAACAGGCCTCTTTGCTTGCACTGAAACACAAGTACGAGTCAGTATAATCATCCCAAACCTCCTAAAAGCAGACTATGAGGCATCATCTTTGCCTTCGACAAATAATTCGAGTATTTTGTCATTTAAAGAAATCCAACACATTCAACCGGACATGGGTATCAGATATCTAAAAATAAGCAAAACGTAAATTATACACTGAGCTCATTCTAGACCAACTTTACGGAAACTGGCGTATATTTGAAGGCTTACATTCTGAAGAGTATAATACTTACCTTTCATTGCTTAATAAATCGAACAATATTTTATTTTTAAAGCGCTACACGAAGAATATGTTTGAACCTCCTATCGCCAAAACAGTACCTCAGTTATGATAACCGGGAACATCTAGAATTTTCTGCAGCGAGAAACCAACATAGAGCTTCGTGTACATTAATAAAAATCAGATTTCCTTATAACTTAATACAAATAAAAAAAATTATCTACTTTTTGAAATCTTATCTTTGCCTATACGTGAGTAAGTTATAAACAAAGCACAAATCTGTATTAATACCCACATAAATAACGCCACAGTCTGAGCATGAATGTGCAAATGAGTCTGACTGACATGATGCTTACATTTATATAATCCTTTTCATCTGGTGTGCATTCGTCTCCACCCTGGAATGCATCGTGCATAGGTAGAGGATAATCCCACCAGGCCTTTTTGATCTCCTCCCGCTCTACTGGATCCAGATCTGGCAGGTCGATGTCATCGGGATCCTGAAGCATGAGACTTAACGTGCTAATAATGTGCACTGTCCAACGCATTTAGGCAATAACATTGTTAGTTCAGTGCGGGGGACTGTATAGTTCGGAAGTAAGCCCAGAAAAGAGGAATCATTCAAACGGACACAGCGCGTAAACTACAAGTGCAGTTAAATGAAGTTGGGTAAAACATAGCTGTCTTAACAGATCAAAAATATCTCCCTAAGGAGGCTAGGTCCGCGCATGTTCCTCTATGACAACGTAAGCTATGCCAACACCCATCCCAGGTAATCCAGCGTTTTTTGCGGCAGTGTTCGCCTTCCATCATACCAAGTTAATATTGCAAAGGAAACCCCTATAAAGTCCTTCTCTTCTCAGCGATAAACTCTCCAAAATGAAGCAGACTTTTCTAGTGCATTTCGTCTCACGAAGCCCCTTCAGCAGTACGCAGAAGACTGCAATTTGTCTGTCAAAAAATTTTCACTAATAATATGGCAAATGACAGTCTAAGCTACTGGCCAACCTGCACTTTCAAATGTCATATAGTAAAAATTTTAACTGACCCAATTGTGAAAAAATCGCGGCATTCGGCGGGATTTGAACCCGGCATAGGAGGGGAGGCAGTTACGCGAAGCCAACGCCCTACCAAGTGAGCTACGAATGCCAAGGCTAGCGCCATGAGTTTAATCCCACTTGGATCGACTTTACCTGCCCAACTTTATCGCTAGTATGGAAGCCACCAGTACGGAACAGCGAGCTGACTGCCCAAGCAGGATTTCCCAAGCAGTCATCTAGAATCCACCAGAATGACAACTAGGCTCACTTAATTATTATTAAAATATGTAAATCAATTCATAAGAAATGAACAATTTCCCAGAGTATATACTACAGGTCCAGTGTTTGATATACCTCACGTCTTTGCGCTACCTCGGCGAGAATGGTACCATAACTGAAGGAATCCATGACGGGGCTAGGTGCTGCAGGTGGGGTTTCTAGAAAGAAAAAAAAGGGGAAAGCGGATTCTTCATTTATCTTTAGAAGCAGCTTGCCTTCATTTTACGCAATATTGGCGCAATCTGATGTTTCTGCTTTCTGGCTAATAAGTAGAGAGGTTTTCGTCGCCTAAATGTTTACTTACGAGAAGGCTTATGAGAGCGCCGTTTAAGTTCAAAATACATTTAAAATGACCAGGGACACAAACGCTAGCGAGAGAAAGAGGGGATGTTGGAATAACCTGCATTTGGCTGCAGTGGCCTACAAACAAAACACAGGCCACAACTTGAAATTCGCGACGGAAATTCGTTTTAAGCGATGACAACCACGTAGGCTGCAAGCTGCTTGATTTATGGTTCTCCAGCGTAGCGACCGGCCATTCATAGTTGATGCAAGGAGTTAGCTTGGGTAGATTAACTAGTCACCCATCTCTTATCGACCACCCTGCTCACACTCCGACGACTCGTTTGCACTAAATTACGAACACGCTTACCGCATGTTCACCTTTAAACTCACCTTCCCATACAAATGTAATGATCCGATGAGAATTTATCGAAAGCCTACGTATGTTCACCAACTGCTCTTCCGATCTTTTACCTTGTAAGTTTAATCTCTGCCTGCGAACAGAAACACCCTTTAACGTACCTCGGTATTCTGGCGCGATGAAGGCCCAGTTTCGGTAGTTCTCAAGGAAGGTCTCCAGTTTCTCTTCTTTTCGCAGGTAGCGAATGGAATCCAGCCCATAGTCTGAACATAAGCGAAAAATCGTTTAGACTGGTTCATATAACCTCCCACAATCAGGAGGGTAAAAAGTGTCGCATCAGATGAACGAAAATTAGCCTGATAGCCTGACTCATGAAACGTTAATCAAAGTTCTAAAGTGTACTTTCTATTAGGAAGGATTGTCAAAAGGAGTATAAAATTACCATACTGCAATATAAAAAGTCATTCCAGTCACATCAAAACGCCAAGTTTTGAGAAAACTTCTTTCCGAAAGAGCTTAACTCGGTTAAAATTAATGAGCATTTTCCCTCTGGTTTTTAATGTCCATATTAATGCAAATATGCTATGTACACAAATGTCGGGAGTTCCAACA